ATTTCTTCAGTCCACCGGAAATGTCTATATGTGAGTCTATAGGTCTCTGTGTGAGTCTATGGGTCTCTGTGTGAGTCTATCGGTCTCTGTGTGAATCTATGTGTCTCTGTGTGAGTCTATGGGTCTCTGTGTGAGTCTATGGGTCTCTGTGTGAGTCTATGGGTCTCTGTTTGTGTCTATGGGTCTCTGTTTGTGTCTATGGGTCTCTGTGTGGGCCTATGGGTCTCTGTGTCTATGGGTCTCTATGTGAGTCTATGGGTCTCTGTGTGAGTCTATGGGTCTCTGTGTGGGTCTATGGGTCTCTGCGTGGGTCTATGGGTCTATGTGTGAGTCTATGGGTCTCTGTGTGAGTCTATGGGTCTCTGTGTGAGTCTATGGGTCTATGTGTGAGTCGGTGGGTCTCTGTGTGAGTCTATCGGTCTCTGTGTGAGTCTGTGGGTCTCTGTGTGAGTCTATGGGTCTCTGTGTGAGTCTATGGGTCTCTGTGTGGGTCTATGGGTCTATGTGTGAGTCTGTGGGTCTCTGTGTGAGTCTTTGGGTCTCTGTGTGAGTCTGTGGGCCTCTGAGTGAGTCTGTGGGCCTCTGTGTGAGTCTGTGGGTCTCTGTGTGAGTCTATGGGTCTCTGTGTGGGTCTATGGGTCTATGTGTGAGTCTGTGGGTCTCTGTGTGAGTCTTTGGGTCTCTGTGTGAGTCTGTGGGCCTCTGTGTGAGTCTGTGGGCCTCTGTGTGAGTCTGTGGGTCTCTGTGTGAGTCTATGGGTCTCTGTGTGAGTCTATGGGTCTATGTGTGAGTCTGTGGGTCTCTGTGTAATGAGTATATGGGTCTCTGTGTGAGTCTTTGGGTCTCTGTGTGAGTCTGTGGCCCTCTGTGTGAGTCTGTGGGCCTCTGTGTGAGTCTGTGGGTCTCTGTGTGAGTCTCTGGGTCTCTGTGTGAATCTATGGGTCTATGTGTGAGTCTGTGGGTCTCTGTGTAATGAGTATATGGGTCTCTGTGTGAGTCTATGGGTCTATGTGCGAGTGTGTGGGTATCTGTTTGAGTCTGGGTCTCTGTGTGAGTTTGAGTCGATGGGTCTTTGTGTGAGTCTATGGTTCTCTGTGTGTGTCTATGGATCTTTGTACAATCAGTCTATGGATCTCTGCATAATGAGTCTATGGGTCTCTGTGTGAGTCTATGGGTCTCTGTGTGAGTATATGGGTCTCTGTGTGAGTTTGAGTCTATGGATCTCTGTGTGAGTCTATGGGTCTCTGCGTGAGTCAATGGGTCTCTCTGTGAGTCTGTGGGTCTCTGTGTTAGTCTGTGGGTTTCTGTGGATCTGTGGGTCTCTGTGTGAGTGTATGGGTCTCTGTGTGAGTTTGAGTCTATGGGTCTCTGTGTGAGTCTATGGGTCTCTGTGTGAGTCTATGGGTCTATGTGTGAGTCTGTGGGTCGCTGTGTGAGTCTATGGGTCTCTGTGTAGTGAGTCTATGGGTCTCTGAGTGATGAGTCTATGGGTCTCTGTATAGTGAATCTATGGATCTCTATGCGAGTCTATGGGTCTCTGTGTAGTGAGTCTATGGGTCTCTATGCGAGTCTATGGGTCTCTGTGTAGTGAGTCTATGGGTTTCTGAGTGATGAGTCTATGGGTCTCTGTTAGTGAGGCTATGGGTCTCTATGCGAGACTATGGGTCTCTGTGTAGTGAGTCTATGGGTCTCTATGCGCGTCTATGGGTCTCTGTGTAGTGAGTCTATGGGTCTCTATGCGAGTCTATGGGTCTCTGTGTAGTGAGTCTATGGGTCTCTATGCGAGTCTATGGGTCTCTGTGTAGTGAGTCTATGGGTATCTATGCGAGTCTATGGGTCTCTGTGTATTGAGTCTATGGGTCTCTATGCGAGTCTATGGGTCTCTGTGTAGTGAGTCTATGGGTCTCTATGCGAGTCTATGGGTCTCTGTGTATTGAGTCTTTGGGTCTCTATGCGAGTCTATGGGTTTCTGTGTAGTGAGTCTATGGATCTCTATGCGAGTCCATTGGTCTCTGTGTATTGAGTCTATGGGTCTCTATGCGAGTCTATGGGTCTCTGTGTAGTGAGTCTATGGATCTCTATGCGAGTCTATGGGTCTCTGTGTAGTGAGTCTATGGGTCTGTGTAGTGAGTCTATGGGTCTCTATGCGAGTCCATTGGTCTCTGTGTATTGAGTCTATGGGTCTCTATGCGAGTCTATGGGTCTCTGTGTAGTGAGTCTATGGACCTCTATGCGAGTCTATGGGTCTCTGTGTAGTGAGTCTATGGGTCTGTGTAGTGAGTCTATGGGTCTCTATGCGAGTCTATGGGTCTCTGTGTGAGTCTATGGGTCTCTGTGTAGTGAGTCTATGGGTCTCTATGCGAGTCTATGGGTCTCTGTGTAGTGAGTCTATGGGTTTCTGTGTAGTGAGTCTATGGGTCTCTATGCGAGTCTATGGGTCTCTGTTTGCTGGGTTGATAGAGCCGCGCCAACCCGTAAGGATGGACACTTGAGGCTCCAGTCAGGCTCTGGGCATTGACCCCCCACTCCAGAGCGCCTGGGTTCAAGTCCCGTGCGAGGGCATCTTCTCTCCCTCCCTCCCTCTCTCTGTCTCGCTCAATCGCAGAAGGTTCACGTTGGCCGTGCCAGAGGCGCTGGGCTGGCACAGCCTGGGTTCGAGTCCTGGGTCTGGTTGTCTCGCTCACTCTCTCGCTCTCACAGCGAGTTCATAATGGCCGTGCCGCAAACACCGAGCCAGGACAAGGACACAATTCCTGCATGGAACCCCTGGACCCGGTTCATCTTGGCCGTGTCGGGGACACTGGGCCACTGCCGCTGAGAACCAGGGTTCGAACCCATGTCCTTGCCGCCATACCACAGTGATTATACCGACTTCTCTGGAGTCTGTGGGTCTCTATGCGAGTCTGTGGGTCTCTACGTGAGGCTATGGGTCTCTATGTGAGGCTATGGGTCTATGTGAGTCTGTGGGTCTCTGTGTGAGTCTATGGGTCTCTATGTGAGTCTGGGTCTCTATGCGAGTCTATGGATCTCTGTGTGAGTCTATGGGTCTCTATGCGAGGCTATCGGTCTCTATGCGAGTCTATGGGTCTCTATGTGAGTCTATGGGTCTCTATTTGAGTCTGGGTTTCTATGCGAGTTTATGGGTCTCTTTGTGAGTCTATGGGTCTCTATGTGAGTCTGGGTCTCTATACGAGTCTATGGGTCTCTATGTAAGTCTATGGGTCTCTATGAGAGTCTATGGGTCTCTATCTGAGTCTATGGGTCTGTATGTGAGTCTGGGTCTCTATGAGAGTGTATGGGTCTCTTTGTGAGTCTATGGGTCTCTGTGTGAGTCTATGGGTCTATGTGCGAGTGTGTGGGTATCTGTGTGAGTCTGGGTCTCTGTGTGAGTTTGAGTCGATGGGTCTTTGTTTGAGTCTATGGTTCTCTGTGTGTGTCTATGGATCTTTATACGATGAGTCTATGGATCTCTGCATAATGAGTCTATGGGTCTCTGTGTGAGTCTATGGGTCTCTGTGTGAGTATATGGGCCTCTCTGTGAGTCTGTGGGTCTCTCTGTTAGTCTGTGGATCTGTGGGTCTCTGTGTGAGTGTATGGGTCTCTGTGTGAGTTTGAGTCTATGGGTCTCTGTGTAAGTCTATGGGTCTATGTGTGAGTCTATGGGTCTCTATGAGAGTCTATGGGTCTCTATCTGAGTCTATGGGTCTGTATGTGAGTCTGGGTCTCTATGAGAGTGTATGGGTCTCTTTGTGAGTCTATGGGTCTCTGTGTGAGTCTATGGGTCTATGTGCGAGTGTGTGGGTATCTGTGTGAGTCTGGGTCTCTGTGTGAGTTTGAGTCGATGGGTCTTTGTTTGAGTCTATGGTTCTCTGTGTGTGTCTATGGATCTTTATACGATGAGTCTATGGATCTCTGCATAATGAGTCTATGGGTCTCTGTGTGAGTCTATGGGTCTCTGTGTGAGTATATGGGCCTCTCTGTGAGTCTGTGGGTCTCTCTGTTAGTCTGTGGATCTGTGGGTCTCTGTGTGAGTGTATGGGTCTCTGTGTGAGTTTGAGTCTATGGGTCTCTGTGTGAGTCTATGGGTCTCTGTGTGAGTCTATGGGTCTCTATGTAAGTCTATGGGTCTATGTGTGAGTCTATGGGTCTCTATGAGAGTCTATGGGTCTCTATGTGAGTCTATGGGTCTGTATGTGAGTCTGGGTCTCTATGAGAGTGGATGGGTCTCTGTGTGAGTCTATGGGTCTCTGTGTGAGTCTATGGGTCTCTATGTGAGTCTATGGGTCTCTATGTGAGTCTGGGTCTCTATGCGAGTCTATGGGTCTCTGTGTGGGTCTAGGGGTCTCTATGTGAGTCTATGGGTCTCTATGTGAGTCTATGGGTCTCTATGTGAGTCTATGGGTCTCTATGAGAGTCTATGGGTCTCTATGAGAGTCCATGAGTCTGTGCTGGCTCAGTCTCCTGCACGTCCATGATGAACCCTTCAGTTTTTGGAGCCAGCTTAGCACCTTTACCCATCACCATCATCACCCCCATCGCCATCATCGCCATCATCACCCCCATCACCATCATCACCATCATCACCCCCATCACCCCCATCACCATCATCGCCATCATCACCATCATCACCCCATCACCCCCATCACCCCCATCGCCATCATCGCCATCATCACCCCCATCACCCCCATCACCATCATCACCATCATCACCATCATCACCCCCATCACCATCATCACCATCATCGCCATCATCGCCATCATCACCCCCATCACCCCCATCACCATCATCACCATCATCACCATCATCACCCCCATCACCCCCATCGCCATCATCACCCCCATCGCCATCATCACCCCCATCACCCCCATCACCATCATCGCCATCATCGCCATCATCACCCCCATCGCCATCATCACCATCATCACCATCATTACCCCCATCGCCATCATCGCCATCATCACCCCCATCGCCATCATCACCCCCATCACCCCCATCGCCATCATCGCCATCATCGCCATCATCACCCCCATCGCCATCATCGCCATCATCACCATCATCACCCCCATCACCATCATCACCATCATCACCCCCATCATCGCCATTATCACCATCGCCGTGGCAACAGGCGTGGGTCCTGAGTTACTCGTCCATGCCGTTGACGATGACACCGCACCACCATCCTCCAACATCCTCCACCATCCTTATCATCATCGCCACCATCATCGCCGTGGCAACAGGCGTGGGTTCTGAGAATGTTAAATTGATGATGACGTAGCACCACCATCCTCCTCGGGGTCGTCGTCATCATCGTCGTCATCATCGTCACCGCTGCTGTCTTTGTCTTCCGTGGACTGGCGCTCGGGGTCGCCATGGAGACGACGTCCGGGGCTACTGCCGGCCGTCAGACAGAGGCGACCGGGTTGGCGAGAGGCGCGGAGCTCCTCAAACAGGAGCTGTGGTGCCGGCACACGGGGTCACGAAACCTAAGAAACGGGGTTAGACACAGAGACACGGAGTGAGACACAGAGACACGGAGTGAGACACAGAGACACGGAGTGAGACACAGAGACACAGACACAGAGTGAGACACAGAGACACAGAGACACGGAGTAACACACAGAGACACAGAGTGAGACACAGAGACACAGAGACACACACGGAGTGACACACAGAGACACAGAGTGAGACACAGAGACACAGAGACACGGAGTGAGACACAGAGACACGGAGACACAGAGTGAGACACAGAGACACGGAGTGAGACACAGAGACACGGAGACAGGGAGTGAGACACAGAGACACGGAGACACAGAGTGAGACACAGAGACACAGAGTTAGACACAGAGACACGGAGACACAGAGTGAGACACAGAGACACGGAGTGAGACACAGAGACACGGAGTGAGACACAGAGACACGGAGTGAGACACAGAGACACAGAGTAAGACAAAGAGACACAGAGACACGGAGTGAGACACAGAGACACAGAGACACAGAGTGAGACACAGAGACACAGAGACACGGAGTGAGACACAGAGACACAGAGACACAGAGTGAGACACAGAGACACTGAGTAAGACACACAGAGACACAGAGTGAGACACAGAGACACGGGGTTAGAGACACAGAGACACAGAGTGAGACACATAGACACAGAGACACGGGGTTAGAGACACAGAGACACGGAGTGAGACACAGAGACACGAAGTGAGACACACAGAGACACAGAGTGAGACACAGAGTGAGACACAGAGACACGGAATGAGACACAGAGACACAGAGACACGGAGTGAGACACAGAGACACGGAGTGAGACACAAAGACACGAGTGAGACACAGAGACACGGGGTTAGACACACAGAGACACGGAGTGAGACACAGAGACACGGAGTGAGACACAGAGACACGGAGAGAGACACAGAGACACGGAGTGAGACACAGAGACACAGAGACACGGAGTGAGACACAGAGACACTGAGTAAGACACACAGAGACACACAGTGAGACACAGAGACACAGAGACACGGGGTTAGACACACAGAGACACAGAGACACGGAGTGAGACACAGAGACACGGAGTGAAACACAGAGACACGGAGTGAGACACAGAGACACAGAGACACGGGGTTAGACACACAGTGACACGGAGTGAGACACAGAGACACAGAGACACGGAGTGAGACACAGAGACACGGGGTGGTGTTGGTGGTTGCAGTGGTGGTGTTGGTTGTAATGACAGCAGTTGCAGTTGTGGTGGTAGCCATGGTTGTGGTGGTAGCCATGGTTGTGGTGGTTGCGATGGCTGACGGTTGCGTGTGGTTGCGGGCGGTTGCATTGGCTGCGATGGTTGCGGTGCTTGACGGTGGTTGCGTGGTTGTGTGCGGTTGCGATGGTTGCGTGTGGTTGTGGTGATGGCGGTGGTTGCGGTGGTTGCGGTGGTTGTGGTGGTTGTGGTGGTGGCGGTGGTTGTGGTGGTGGCGGTGGTTGCGGTGGTTGCGATGGTTGCGGTGGTTGCGGTGGTTGTGATGGTTGTGATGGTTGTGGTGGTTGTGGTGGTTGTGATGGTTGCGGTGGTTGCGATGGTTGCGGTGGTTGACGGTGGTTGCGGTGGTTGTGATGGTTGCGATGGTTGACGGTGGTTGCAGTGGTTGCGATGGTTGCGGTGGTTGCGGTGGTTGTGATGGTTGTGATGGTTGTGATGGTTGTGGTGGTGGCGGTGGTTGCGGTGGTTGCGGTGGTTGCGATGGTTGCGGTGGTTGCGGTGGTTGCGATGGTTGCGATGGTTGACGGTGGTTGCGGTGGTTGCGGTGGTTGCGATGGTTGCGGTGGTTGCGGTGGTTGCGATGGTTGCGGTGGTTGCGATGGTTGCGGTGGTTGTGGTGGTGGCGGTGGTTGCGGTGGTTGCGTGCGGTTGCGATGGTTGCGATGGTTGCGGTGGTTGACGGTGGTTGCGGTGGTTGCGGTGGTTGCGTGGTTGTGTGCGGTTGCGATGGTTGCGTGTGGTTGTGGTGGTGGCGGTGGTTGCGGTGGTTGTGATGGTTGCGATGGTTGACGGTGGTTGCGGTGGTTGCGATGGTTGCGGTGGTTGCGGTGGTTGTGATGGTTGTGATGGTTGTGATGGTTGTGGTGGTTGTGGTGGTTGTGATGGTTGCGGTGGTTGCGATGGTTGCGGTGGTTGACGGTGGTTGCGGTGGTTGTGATGGTTGCGAGGGTTGACGGTGGTTGCAGTGGTTGCGATGGTTGCGGTGGTTGCGGTGGTTGTGATGGTTGTGATGGTTGTGATGGTTGTGGTGGTGGCGGTGGTTGCGGTGGTTGCGGTGGTTGCGATGGTTGCGGTGGTTGCGGTGGTTGCGATGGTTGCGATGGTTGACGGTGGTTGCGGTGGTTGCGGTGGTTGCGGTGGTTGCGATGGTTGCGGTGGTTGCGGTGGTTGCGATGGTTGCGGTGGTTGCGATGGTTGCGGTGGTTGCGGTGGTTGCGATGGTTGCGGTGGTTGCGATGGTTGCGGTGGTTGCGGTGGTTGCGATGGTTGTGGTGGTGGCGGTGGTTGCGGTGGTTGCGTGCGGTTGCGATGGTTGCGATGGTTGCGGTGGTTGACGGTGGTTGCGGTGGTTGCGGTGGTTGCGTGGTTGTGTGCGGTTGCGATGGTTGCGTGTGGTTGTGGTGGTGGCGGTGGTTGCGGTGGTTGTGATGGTTGCGATGGTTGACGGTGGTTGCGATGGTTGCGATGGTTGCGGTGGTTGCGGTGGTTGCGATGGTTGCGGTGGTTGCGGTGGTTGCGATGGTTGCGGTGGTTGCGGTGGTTGTGATGGTTGTGATGGTTGTGGTGGCGGTGGTTGTGGTGGTTGCGGTGGTTGCGATGGTTGCGGTGGTTGCGGTGGTTGCGATGGTTGCGGTGGTTGCGGTGGTTTCGATGGTTGCGATGGTTGCGGTGGTTGCGATGGTTGCGGTGGTTGCGATGGTTGCGGTGGTTGCGGTGGTTGCGATGGTTGCGGTGGTTGCGATGGTTGCGGTGGTTGTGGTGGTGGCGGTGGTTGCGGTGGTTGCGTGCGGTTGCGATGGTTGCGATGGTTGCGGTGGTTGACGGTGGTTGCGGTGGTTGCGGTGGTTGCGTGGTTGTGTGCGGTTGCGATGGTTGCGTGTGGTTGTGGTGGTGGCGGTGGTTGCGGTGGTTGTGATGGTTGCGATGGTTGTGATGGTTGTGGTGGTTGTGGTGGTTGCGGTGGTTGCGATGGTTGTGGTGGTTGACGGTGGTTGCGGTGGTTGTGATGGTTGCGATGGTTGACGGTGGTTGCAGTGGTTGCGATGGTTGCGGTGGTTGCGGTGGTTGCGATGGTTGTGATGGTTGTGATGGTTGTGGTGGTGGCGGTGGTTGCGGTGGTTGCGATGGTTGCGATGGTTGCGGTGGTTGCGATGGTTGCGGTGGTTGCGATGGTTGCGGTGGTTGCGGTGGTTGCGATGGTTGCGGTGGTTGCGATGGTTGCGGTGGTTGCGGTGGTTGCGATGGTTGCGGTGGTTGCGGTGGTTGCGATGGTTGCGATGGTTGACGGTGGTTGCGGTGGTTGTGATGGTTGCGGTGGTTGCGGTGGTTGCGGTGGTTGCGATGGTTGCGATGGTTGACGGTGGTTGCGGTGGTTGTGATGGTTGCGGTGGTTGCGGTGGTTGCGGTGGTTGCGATGGTTGCGGTGGTTGCGGTGGTTGCGATGGTTGCGGTGGTTGCGATGGTTGCGGTGGTTGCGGTGGTTGCGATGGTTGCGGTGGTTGCGATGGTTGCGGTGGTTGCGGTGGTTGCGATGGTTGTGGTGGTGGCGGTGGTTGCGGTGGTTGCGTGAGGTTGCGATGGTTGCGATAGTTGCGGTGGTTGACGGTGGTTGCGGTGGTTGCGGTGGTTGCATGGTTGTGTGCGGTTGCGATGGTTGACTGTGGTTGCGATGGTGGCGGTGGTTGCGTGCGGTTGCGATGGTTGTGATGGTTGCGATGGTTGCGGTGGTTGCGATGGTTGCGATGGTTGCGGTGGTTGTGGTGGCTGCGATGGTTGCGATGGTTGCGGTGGTTGTGGTGGTTGCGATGGTTGCGGTGGTTGCGGAGGTTGCGATGGTTGCGGAGGTTGCGACGGTTGCGGCGTTGACGTCACCGTGGTGGTCTTGAGCCGCCCCCCAGGCCGGCTGCAGGTCCAGCCCGCCCGGCCCCGCAGCGGGCGACATTGCTCCCCCGCCACGCACGGCCGCATGTCGCACCACGCACGCACGCGCACCACGTGGGCTGGGGGGGGGCACCACGGGGGGGTGGGGTCACGTGGGGATGGGGTCACGGGGGGGTGGGGTCACGGGGTCACGGGAGGATAGAGTCACAGGTTCACGTGGGGATGGAGGAATGGGGGCAGAGTATTGGGGACAGGGCTCACTTTGAAGGTCTCAATCTGGAGCAAGGCTACGGTTAGGGGTTAAGGGTCAATGTTAGCTGCGTGTCTGTGTGCGTCTCGCCCTGTCTCACCGTGTCCCTGTGTCCTCCCCGTGTCTCCTGCCGTGTTACCATGTGCCGTGTCTGTCTCTCAGGTGTGTCCCCGTGTCTCCTGCCGTGTTACCATGTGCCGTGTCTGTCTCTCAGGTGTGTCCCCGTGTCTCCTGCCGTGTTACCATGTGCCGTGTCTGTCCCTCAGGTGTGTCCTCCCCGTGTCTCCTGCCGTGTTACCATGTGCCGTGTCTGTCCCTCGGGTGTGTCCTCCCCGTGTCTCCTGCCGTGTTACCATGTGCCGTGTCTGTCCCTCGGGTGTGTCCTCGTGTCTCCTGCCGTGTTACCATGTGCCGTGTCTGTCCCTCGGGCGTGTCCCCGTGTCTCCCGCTATCTCCCTGTCGCCCCCACTGTTGCCCATCTTACATTGCATTTATGGCTTTTATTTTGGTGATTTCGAAAAGTTTTTTTGGTTTGGCCATGTTTTTGTTTATTGTAGTACGGAGATAGACTGATGGCCTTAATCTTAGTTGCCTTGTGGTTGTTGTTATTTTGACTTGCATCCCACTGGGATTTTTGCACACAGCGTTGGTGTACGGTGCTATTTCAGGAATATTTTGATGTTTTTTTATCCTGGATTTTCTGTTTGCACAGCTACATAGTCACTTTTACTGGTAGGAACGAAGTTGTAAACTGAGTGTACCAGCCTGCAATAGATTAATGTGTCCGTCCGTCCGTCCCCTTTCAATACTTTAACGAAGTGAAATCTCGTGCTGTTGAGTGTAAAATCAGCAATAGACAGCGCAGAGACTTGTCCTACCAGCCCACCCTGCAGGGACCTGTAAGATGTTTTATTGTTCATGTTTTTGTTTGTTGCGGTTGCACCCGATTAGAGCCGAATGGCTCACAGGGCTATACCAAATAAATGAAACTATGAACTATGAACTATGTCCCCCAGTGACCCTCTATGCCCCCCCCAAGCCCGTGTCCTTCCATTTCCTTCCGTGTCGCCTGCTGTCCCCCATCTCCCCATGTCTCCTTCCCTGTCCGTGTGTCCCCCCACGTCCCCCCGTGTCCCCCCCCCCATATCTTCCCGTGTCTTCTCGTGTCTCCCCCCCCCCCCGCCGTGTCTACCCCCCCCCCCCGTGTCTCCCCGTGTCTCCCCCCCCCCCCCCAGTGTCTCCCCGTGTCTCCCCCCCCCCCGTGTCTCCCCGTGTCTCCCCCCCCCGTGTCTCCCCGTGTCTCCCCCCCGTGTCTCCCCGTGTCTCCCCCCCCCGTGTCTCCCCCCCGTGTCTCCCCGTGTCTCCCCCCCATGTCTCCCCGTGTCTCCCCCCCCGTGTCTCCCCGTGTCTCCCCCCCCCCGTGTCTCCCCCCCCCCTGTCTCCCCGTGTCTCCCCCCCCCGTGTCTCCCCCCCGTGTCTCCCCGTGTCCTCCCCCCCCCCGTGTCTCCCCGTGTCCCCCTAGTGCCTTCCCCCCCGCCCGTATATTTCCGTGTCTCACCGTCCACGCATGCCGGCTGTCCCAGCGTGGTGCCTGCCACCTGTCCCCGCCGGCAAGCACAGCGCGCCGTCTGGGTGGAGACGGCCCGGCGCGACTCCACCTCGTCGTGGGAGAGCGTCACCACCTCGCACGTGCCCACCGCCAGCTGGCCTGCCAACAACACCACCACCGTCGTCAACAACACCACCACCACCATCATCTACATCAACACCACCACCTCGCACGTGCCCACCGCCAGCTGGCCTGCCAACAACACCACCACCGTCGTCAACAACACCACCACCGTCGTCAACAACACCACCACCGTCGTCAACAACACCACTAACGTCAACAACACCACCACCGTCGTCAACAACACCACCACCACCATCATCTACATCAACACCACCACCTCGCACGTGCCCACCGCCAGCTGGCCTGCCAACAACACCACCACCGTCGTCAACAACACCACCACCGTCGTCAACAACACCACCACCACCACCACCATCATCTACATCAACACCACCACCTCGCACGTGCCCACCGCCAGCTGGCCTGCCAACAACACCACCACCGTCGTCAACAACACCACCACCGTCGTCAACAACACCACCACCATCATCTACATCAACACCACCACCTCGCACGTGCCCACCGCCAGCTGGCCTGCCAACAACACCACCACCGTCGTCAACAACACCACCACCACCACCATCATCTACATCAACACCACCACCTCGCACGTGCCCACCGCCAGCTGGCCTGCCAACAACACCACCACCGTCGTCAACAACACCACCACCGTCGTCAACAACACCACCACCACCACCACCATCATCTACATCAACACCACCACCTTGCACGTGCCCACCGCCAGCTGGCCTGCCAACAACACCACCACCGTCGTCAACAACACCACCACCGTCGTCAACAACACCACCACCATCATCTACATCAACACCACCACCTCGCACGTGCCCACCGCCAGCTGGCCTGCCAACAACACCACCACCGTCGTCAACACCACCACCACCACCATCATCTACATCAACACCACCACCTCGCACGTGCCCACCGCCAGCTGGCCTGCCAACAACACCACCACCGTCGTCAACAACACCACCACCGTCGTCAACAACACCACCACCACCACCATCATCTACATCAACACCACCACCTCGCACGTGCCGACCGCCAGCTGGCCTGCCAACAACAACACCACCATCGTCAACACCACCACCACCACCATCATCTACATCAACACCACCACCTCGCACGTGCCCACCGCCAGCTGGCCTGCCAACAACACCACCACCATCGTCAACAACAACACCACTATCGTCAACAACACCACCACCGTCGTGAACAACACCACTACCATCAACAACACCACCACCATCGTCAACAACACCACCGCCGTCGTCAACAACACCACTACCGTCAACAACACCACCGTCGTCGTCAACAACACTACCACCGTCGTCAACAACACCACCACCATCTACATCAAGACCACCACCTTATACATCAACACCACCACCTTCTACATCAACACCACCACCATCTACATTAACAACACCACCTTATACATCAACACCACCACCATCTACATCAACACCACCACCTTCTACATTAACACCACCACCATAGTCAACAACACCACCACTATCTACATCAACACCACCACCATCAACACCACCACCACCTACATCAACACCACCACCATCTACATCAACACCACCACCACCTACATCAAAACCACTACCATCGTCAACAACAGCACCACCTTCTACATCAACACCACCACCTTCTACATCAACACCACCACCATCTGCATGAACACCACCACCATCGTCAACAACACCACCACCTTCGTCAACACCACCACCATCGTCAAAAACACCACCACCATCAACAACACCACCACCGTCAACATCAACACCTACATCAAGACCACCACCATCTACATCAACACCACCACCATCTACATCAACACCACCACCATCGTCAACAACACCACCTTCTACATCAACACCACCACCTTCTACATCAACACCACCATCTACATTAACACCACCACCATCTACATCAACACCACCACCATCTACATCAACACCACCACCATCTACATCAACACCACCACCATCTACAACACCACCACCACCTACATCAACACCACCGCGTTCTACATCAACACCACCACCATCTACATCAACACCACCACCATCTACATCAACACCACCACCATCTACATCAACACCACCACCATCTACATCAACACCACCACCATCAACATCAACAGCACCATCTACATCAACACCACCACCATCTGCATCAACACCACCATCGTCAACAACACCACCACCTTCGTCAACACCACCACCGTCGTCAACAACACCACCACCATCTACATCAACACCACCACAATCTACATCAACACCACCACCTTCTACATCAACACCACCATCTACATCAACACTACCACCATCTACATCAACACCACCACCATCTACATCAACACCACCATCTATATCAACACCACCACCATCTACATCAACACCAACATCTACATCAACACCACCTCCATCTACATCAACACCACCACCATCTACATCAAAACCACCACCATCGTCAACAACAGCAACACCTTCTACATCAACACCACCACCATCTACATCAACACCACCACCATCTACATCAACACCACTACCATCGTCAACAACAGCACCACCTTCTACAACAACACCACCACCATCTACATCAACACCAACACCATCGTCAACAACACCACCACCATCGACAACACCACCATCGTCGTCAACAACACCACCACCATCATCAGCACCACAACCTTCTACATCAACACCACCACCATCGACATCAACACCAACACCGTCTACAACAACACCACCACCTTCTACATCAACACCACCACCATCTACATGAACACCACCACCATCATCAACACCACCACCTTCTACATCAACACCACCACCATCTACATCAACACCACCACCACCACCTACATCAACACCACTACCATCGTGAACAACAGCACCACCTTCTACATCAACACCACCACCATCAACATCAACACCACCACCATCGTCAACAACACCACCAACATCGTCAACACCACCACCGTCGTCAACAACACCACCACCATCAACAACACCACCACCTTCAACAACACCACCACCATCTACATCAACAACACCACCACCATCGACATCAACACCACCATCTACATCAACACCACCACCATCGACATCAACACCACCACCACCTACATCAACACAACCACAATCTACATCAACACCACCACCTTCTACATCAACACCACCATCGTCTACATCAACACCACCACCATCTGCATCAACACCACCACCTTCTACATCAAAACCAGCACCATCTACATCAACACCACCACCATCGACATCAACACCACCACCATCGACATCAACACCACCACCGTCTACAACAACACCACCACCATCTACATAAACAACACCACCTACATCAACACCACCACCTTCTACATCAACACCACATCCATCTACATCAACACCACCACCATCTACAACAACACCACCACCATCTGCATCAACCCACCACCATCTGCATCAACACCACCACCATCTACATAAACACCATCACCACCTACATCAACACCACTACCATCGTCAACAACAGCACCACCTTCTACATCAACACCACCATCAACATCAACACCACCACCATCGTCAACAACACCACCACCATCGTCAACACCACCACCGTCGTCAACAACAACACCACCATGAACAACACCACCACCGTCAACAACAACACCACCATCTACATCAACACCACCACCATCTACATCAACACCACCAAAGTCGTCAACAACACCACCACCATCGTCAACAACACCACCACCATCTACATCAACACCAGCACCACCGTCTACATCAACACCACCATCTACATCAACACCAGCACCACCTACATCAACAACACCAAGATCTACAACAACACCAGCATCGTCACCAACACCACCACCATCTACATCAACAACACCACCATCTACAACAACACCACCACCGTCACCAACACCACCATCTACATCAACACCACCACCATCTACATCAACAACACTACCATCTACATCAACACCACCTCCATCTACATCAACACCACCACCATCTACATCAACACCACCACCATCTACATCAACACCACCACCATCTACATCAATACCACCACCATCAACATCAACACCACCACCACCATCTATATCAACACCACCACCATCTACATCAACACCACCACCATCATCAACACCACCACCATCATCAACACCACCACCTTCTACATCAACACCACCACCATCGACATCAACACCAACACCGTCTACAACAACACCACCACCTTCTACATTAACACCACCACCATCTACATCAACACCACCACCGTCTACATCAACACCACATCCATCTACATCAACAGCACCACCATCATCAACACCACCACCGTCTACATCAACACCAGCATCTACATCAACACTACCACCATCTACATCAACACCACCACCATCATTAACACTACCACGGTCTACATCAACAGCACGTCCATCTACATCAACAACACCACCATCTACATCAACACCACCTCCATCTCCATCAACACCACCATCTAAATCAACACCACCATCTACATCAACACCACCACCACCTACATCAACACCACTACCATCGTCAACAACAGCACCACCTTCTACATCAACAACACCACCTTCTACATCAACACCACCACCATCTACATCAACACCACCACCATCTACATCAACACCACCACCATCTACATCAACACCACCACCACCACCTACATCAATACCACTACCATCGTCAACAACACCACCACCATCGTCAACACCACCACCGTCGTCAACAACACCACCATCATCAACAACACCACCACCGTCAACAACACCACCACCACCTACATCTACATCAACACCACCACCACCGTCTACATCAACACCACCACCATCTACATCAACACCACCACCACCTACATCAACAACAACACCATCTACAACAACACCACCACCGTCAAAATCAACAACCCCACCATCTACATCAACACCACCTTCATCTACATCAACACCACCACCATCTACATCAACA